CTTCAGAAATGCCTGGCTCTCTAGGGAAATGTCTCTTTTTTTTTGTAGTACTGGGGATAAAACCCAGGAGTGCTCCACCACTGAGCTACAACTTCAGTCCCTTTTAATTTATTTGAGACAGGGTCAAATTATTGAGGCTAGTCTTGAACTTATGATCTTCCTACTTCAGCCTCCAGAGTTCCTGGGATCACAGGCCTGTGCCACTTTGCACAGTGATGGTATCCCCAGCCATTTTTTTTAATGTGCTGGGGAGAAAACCTCATGCACTCTACCACTGAGTGACATACTCAACCATTTTCGTTTTTTTATTTTGACACAGGATCTCCCTAAAATTGCCCAGGATGACCTCAAATTTGAGATCCTTCCTCAGGTGTGGTGGAGCACGCCTGTAATTCCAGTATATTGGGAGGCTGAGGCTGGAGGATCATGAGTTCAAAGCTAGCCTCAGCAATTTAGGAAGACTGTTTCAAAATAAAAAAGGGCTGGAGATGTTGCTTAGTGGTAACATCTTAGTGGAAGCATCCCAGGGTTCAATCCATGGTACCAAAAAAACCCAAATTGAGATCCTCCTGTCTCAGCCTCCAGAGTTTCTGGGAGGAATTACAGGCTTCTGTCGGCACACCCAGCTTGCATCTTTCATTATGACTCTTCTTCAGGCAATCTAGATGTCAGGAAGCAATCAAAGTGGACTAAGGTTTTCAAACTTCCAGGGAATAATTTGCACCTGAAGTGAAATGCAAACTATAGGGAATTTATAGCAAAATGGGAAACCTTTAGTCATTTCCTTTAAATATCCCTTAGTAAGATGCTTTTTCTAAAGCAGGTTTTCTTCAGCAGTGAAAATAAAGGGACTGGGCTGGAGCAGTAGCTCAGTGGCAGAGCACTTGCTTTGCATGTAGGAGGCACTGAGTTCAATCCTTAGCACCACATAAAAATGAAACAAATAAAATATTCTGTCCATCTAACTAAAACAAATGAAAACTGGGCAAAACCCATTTAAACCAAGACCTAATATTAAATATATTGATTCTAAGTGTATTCTTTTCTCTCTCTTTTTTTTTTTTTTTGATCCTAAGGATTGAACCCAGGGGTGCTCAACTACTGAGCCACATTCCCAGCCCTTTTTTATATTTTAGAGACAGGGTCTCACTGAGTTTCTAAGTGCCTCATTAAATTGCTGAGGCTGGCTTTGAACTCGAAATCCTCCTGCCTCAGCCTCTGGAGCCACTGGGATTAAAGCATGCGTCACAGTGCCTGGCCAAAGTGTATTCTTAAAAGAAAATTTCAATGCATATTATTAACTGATTTGTAGTTATAATGATCTCCATTGGCATTTCACAGCTTTTTCAGAAGTCTCACTACAGAGCATCCTATATTTCAACTGATTTAATTCAACACCAAATTGGGTATCACATTGTATCTTTCAAATTTAAACACATTTTTAAATAGTTTACAAAATAGAACAATAGAGCAGGAAAGTACACAGAAATGATTTATTCCAACACATTTCTTAGGATAAAGAAATACATCCAGAAGTTCAAGTGACTTGCCTATGGTCATAGAACTAGACAGAGATAGAACAAAGACTAAAAGTCAGATCTGTTTATTTCTTTTGGTGTTTCTACTCCACATTTGCAAATATATTCTTGTCCAGTCTCATATAACTTGATAATCTGCAAGGGGAACACTTTCAAATCCTTTTTTTTTTTTTTTTTTTGCTATCCAAAGAGAATTATCTAGTCAAGGAGTGGTGTCCATGGACAGGGACAAAAAGTAAATCATGTATCGAAAACAACCATTTGTCTACTCATCTTGGATGTTTTTACTAATCTATTGAGTCATATTATAAAGGCCCATGTATGCATTCCTAGAATGTATCTCAGTTGAAATATTTAAGGAAATTGTGCTATCAAATGCACTATCACCAAGGAGAATAAAATTCTAAGTTAATTGTAATTTCAAAATGGAATATTCTAATTTTACAATTATTCTTTAGAGTTTTATTTTATTTGGGGACAGATGATTAAACCCTAGGACATTCTACCATTGAACTATATTCCTAGTCCTGTTTTATCTTTTTGAGACAGGATCTCATTAAATTGCTGAGGCTGGCCTCCAACTTGCAATCTTCCTGCCTCAGCCCCCAGGGTCAGTTTGTGCCACCATGACTGGCTTCCTTTAGTGTTTAAATTGATCCCTCTTTAGCCAGTAATCAAAAACTCAAAATTTAGATTGTAAGACTTTATTGATATGGTAAAAAAGTAAACAGCCAGACATTTCGTTATTTTTGCCACTATAATGTGTCATTTTAATTTTTTTTTACGAGTAAAGTAACAGAATTTATCTTTGAAACACAGAGAATGGAGTTCCTACAAGGGAGGGGTCCCAAGAGGGTTGCCCATGTGTCATTTTAATACTATTTTTAAAATGAATAACAAATTATATTTAAACCATTACTAGAAAAATTAAGAGTCTACTTAAGGCACTTCAGATGAAAGCTAATTTCAAAATTTCCACAAAAGGAACACTACTTTAAGTGTAGCAAATCTGCTTTCCACATATTTTAGACAGAATGCTTTCTCCTTAGAGGAGAATGTGCTCTTAAAGGGAGACAAAAGAAATACAAAAAAACTGTCATTATTTCAATGACCATGGCAAATTATCTGGAGCAATAGATTATATGGCAGTAGTATTCCCCTGGTCAATCCGTGAAAATTAGGGCAACTTCATACAAGTCTCATAAGAATCACAGCATAAATTTATTTGGCCTGAGACAAGTACAAGAATAGCAGATAAGGAATCCAGAACCACCAATTTACAGGGGAGTAATTAACTAAAAAGTGTTTCCATTAAAGAGTATGGGGGGGGATCATCAGTATCCTCCCGCACTCATCAAATCTACTAACAAAATAAAAACAAAAACTCACATGAAGCCTTTCTTCAGAGGCAATTATAGCCATCTCCTTTCATGAGACTCTGTAAGTCTTTGTGTGTGTGGCGAGAGGTGGGTGAGGGTAACAGGGATTGAACCCAGGGGTGCTTTACCACTGAGCTACATCTGCAGCCCTTTTTTTTTTTTTTTTTTTTTTGAGATAGGGTCTCACTAGGTTGTCCAGGCTAGCTTCAAACTTGCAAACATCCTGCATCAGCTTCTCCAGATGCTGAGACTAGAGGCATGAGTCACTGTGCTCAGCCTGTTATATAAGACTTTTAGACCATGTTAGATTGTAAATAGCAGGAGGCAACCACTCTATCTTCTTCTTCTTCTTTTTTTTTTTTAAATTAGGGATTGAACTCAGGGGCACTCAACCACCAAGCCACAACCCCAGCCCTATTTTGTATTTTATTTAGAGACAGGGTCTCACTGAGTTGCTTAGCGCCTCGCTATTGCTGAGGCTGGCTTTGAACTTGGCAATACTCCTGTCTCAGCCTCCTGAGCTGCTGGGATTACAGGCGTGTGCCACCGTTCCTGGCTCACAGTATCTTCTTAATGTAATACTGCCACGATTTTGTTAAAATTACAATTCTTAAACTTTCATAATAGTGGAATTTTAGGTTATTCTTCATAAGTATGGGGGGTTATAGTTAGATATATAATGATAGTTACAAAAATATAACTTACAGAAATTTAGTTAGCACATATGATTATTTCTACTATAGAAAAAAAAGACAAAATTCAAACAAAACCCTTCAAACTAGGAAGCTGTACGCTGTTGTTGTTTTACATTTTTTTTTTTTTTTTTGAGATGGGGACTCACTATCTTGTCCAGGCTGACCTTGAATGTTTAGACTCAAATAATCTTCCCACCTCAGCCTCAGACTGGGACAGGCACATGCTACCATGCTAGCTTTGTTTATTTAAAGGAGGAGAATAAAGGCTAAAATAATAACAAAAACAGAACAGCTCTCACAAAACAATTTCTATATACAGGCAACAATTCAATATTTCATAATTTTCTTTTCCCATTCTAAGGGAGCCCTTTTTCTAAATACAACTGAGCCTATTTTTCTATTAGGTAAAAATGAAATAAATGGACAATTTCTAACCTACAAAAACATTTTAGACCATGTTATAAATTACACAGATTTTTATCACTAAACTATATTGTTATTAGAGATGGACCAGCTTACATAAAACTAGGGAGATAAAATGAATCTTAAATCCTTCCAAATACAAGGTAGTTAACACCATACTCATATAGAAATCACAATCCTGTATTTAGAGATACTTTTTAATGTCTACAGCTGTCAAGAAGCATAGGTAACATTGTATTTCAGTAGGAAAGATGCGAGGAAGACTGGTCTTTCTAAAAGCTAGACCTGTATGCTGAAGAATCGTGTTGCATTTTCACTACACCATGTAGCACATACCATTTCTTTTATATATATACATATTTTTTTCAGTTGTCAATGGACCTTCATTTTATTTACTTATATGCAGTGCTGAGAATTGAACCCAGTGCCTCACACATGCTAGGTAAGCACTCTACCACTGAGCCACCATCCCAGCCCCATACACATGATTTCTTGACCCAGAAATAAGTGTTGGTAAAATATACACATCCATGCAAATATGGAAAAGCTAAGAATGGCTTCCTGATGCAGATTATCTTTAACAGGCCTCTGTGGGAATACCTGGTCCCAACTTTCATTCCCCATCTTTGAATAAGAGAATATAAAATCAGATGACCAAAAGTAACCAAAAGCAACTAAAGTAGTTTTGAGCTTTCTTCTAATTAAATGAAGTAGTAGTTTTAAAATTTTTATAATGTAATTAATTCTACAAAATTAAAAATTCCACAAAATTCACTTGGAAGAAAAGGTTAAAAGGAGAATAATTTCCAAATACTTCATGATTTTGACAAGAAATTGATTGTTAAGGCACTACACATCTTCTTTGGTTAAATGATTAACTATTTAAATCACTTGAAAACAAGAGGTAATACAGAATACACAAGTTGCATTCTTCTTTTCAAACACACACATTTCTTATTTTTCAATTTCCATTACTGCAGTGTTTACATATCTCTGGAATCCTTCTCAACTCATCAGAAAGCTGAAACAAAAACATATACCAATCTATTAGTCTCTGAAAGAAAAAAAAAACTTTACTTCTAACAAATATACAATATGTTGATTTTAGCAGATCAAAGAACATTTTGGGAATTGTATCTGAGTACCAATTACAAAAAGTGAGAAAAAATGAGAGATCAGGTAGTCTTATGACAAAAGAAAATAGATATAACCTCAAGTTCTTCTATTCAGGAGATCCTCAAAAGAAACAATAATTAATAGTTGAAGTAACCTCAGTAATCAAATACTTACCAATTGTTAGATGTCTCAGCAAAATCACCCTTGCATCTGAATTAGTTTTCTCCAAAGGAGAAGTCATTTAAGCGCGAGCACACGCACACACACACACACACACACACACACACACACACACACAAGAATAAGCATAAATTTAGAAGATTATAAGTCAAGAATTGAGGTTTTAGGAGTTTTCTGGTTTAAAAATTAAATAAGTTCACAAAAAAGCTGTGCACAAAGGTACATGCCTGTAAATTCAGCTACTCAGAAGGTTGACGCAGGAGACTACAAGTTTGGGGCCAACCTGAGCAAATCAGTGAGACACCGTCTCAAAATGAAAAAGAAAAAATTAAAGAGCTGAAGTTATAGCTCAGTGGTAGAGAACCCCTGGGCTCAATCCCCAGTATTGTAAAAGAAAAAAAAAATCGCACAAAAAAGAAAAATATAAGATTAATTGATGTTGTACAATGATCAAAAGCTAACAATGCTACAATATAAGTCAACTAGGATTTTTTCAAAATTAGGTTTAACATTTGGAGTTTAAAAAACCAAATATATGTGAAGAGTAGATGGAGGTGTAGCTCAGTCCATAGAGCGCTTGCCTACCATGTAAGAAGCTATGATTTGATCCCCAACACCACCGCAGCCCACACAGAGGAACAAATTTGCATCTCGAAGGATGAATTCATATACTTTTAGTGTTCATAATCTTTTATAAAATAGATAATAGATTTTAAGAAATATAAATTTCATTAACTGGGCTGGGGATGTGGCTCAGCGGTAGCGCGCTCGCCTGGCATGCGTGCGGCCCGGGTTCAATCCTCAGCACCACATACCAACAAAGATGTTGTGTCCGCCGAGAACTAAAAAAAATAAATATTAAAAATTCTCTCTCTCTCTCTCCTCTCTCACTCTCTCTTTAAAAAAAATTAAAAAAAAATAAATTTCATTAACTGACACTCTGATTATAAAAATAACTCACAGCATGCCCCATTATGTAGGTAATATTTCTCTTGCCTATTAATGTAGTGAAATCAAGAACATGCAACCAGAACAATTTTCTCCCTGAGCCTTAGGGATCTCTAGCAACATCTCAAACTGATTAGGACTTTTTTTCTTTTTATAGAGAAAGTGTCTTGCTATGTTGCCCAGGTTGGCCCCAAATTCTGGGGCTCAAGTGATTATCCTGCCTTAACCCCCACAGTAGCTTGGTCTACAGGCTTGAGCAACTGGGTCCAGCTTGAACAGACCTTCCTAAACACTCTTATACTCTCAACAAACTAACTTCTTTTTTTTTGGTACCAGGGATTAAACTCAGGGGCAATTGACCACTGAGCCACATCCCCAGCCCCATTTTGTATATTTAGAGATAGGTTCTCACTGAGCTGCTTAGTACCAAGCATTTGCTGAGGCTGGCTTTGAACTCATGATCCTCCTGCCTCAGCTTCCCAAGCCACTGGGATTACAGGTGTGCGCCACCACACCTGGCTCAATAGACTAGCTTCTAATCAATAACCATTTGAATTAGCCTTGAAAAGAAGTGAGGAGCAGTTTTTAAAATCATTAAAAGAATTTCTTTCTGAAAAAGAAACAAAACAAACACAATATGCAGAGAAGGAACTATATAAATACATATGGTCTAAAAGGTTTAATTATTTCATGTTATATAGATTTTTTAGATTAAATTAGATGATATAAGAGCAATCCTAAAAAGTGTTCCTGAAAAATCACATACTGCCGGGCACGGTGGCACAGCCTATAATCCTGCAGCTGGAGAGGCTGAGACAGGAGGATTTCAAGTACAAAGCCAGGTTCAGCAACTGTGAGGCACTAAGCAACTCAGTGAAACCCTGTCTCCAAATAAAACACAAAATATGGCTAAGGATGTGGCTCAGTGATCCAGTGCCCCTGAGGTACAAAAAAACAAAACAAAAACAAAAAACAAAAACAAAACCACATACTAATATTGTCCATTATACCATAATTATTTAAAATTAACTTTTTTGGTAGTTGTAGATGGACAGAATGCCTTTATTTTATTTGTTTATTTTTATGTGCCTCACACATGATAGGCAAGTGCTCTACCACTGAGCTACAGCTCCAGCCCTTAAAATTAACTTTTATATGAACATATCTAAATTAAAACTATCTTTCCTTTAGAAGCCATGTATTTTCAACAGCCATACAAGCGCGTGCGCGCGCGCTCGCGTGCACACACACACAAATAAAATAAAGCAACATCAACTCTAGTTATTGTTAAATATAGGTAATTACTATGTAAATCCAGAGTAAGAATCATACCTGTATGGATATCCATGATATTTAGATCTGAAAATAGACAACATCCAACTGAAGAATAACACAACAAGTCCAATACCAGCCATACACATTACTACAAAAAAACAAGAGTAAAATGGTCAGGATAAACATCATAAATAACCAGGTCATAAATCTTAGCCACACTTCCAAAGTAAAATGGGCTATAATTTCCTAAGAACTTTCTAAGTTTTCATGCCCATTTTTTTGTATTGGGGACTGGTCCCAGGGCACTCTACCACTGAACTACATCCCCAGACGTTTTAGTTGTTTTTTTTTTTTTTTTTTTTTTTTTAAACAGGGTATTGCCAGGATTGTGAGGCTGGCCTGGAATGTGCAATCCTTCTGCCTTAGCCTCTCAAGTAGCTTGGACTACAGGCATGCACCACCATGCCTGTTGACAATTAAATTTTAAAAATTTCTTTCTTTCTTTCTTTCTTTTTTTTTGTACTGGGGATTGAACTCAGGGGCACTCAATCACTGAGCCACATCCCCAGTCCTATTTTGTAATTTATTTAGAGACAGGGTCTCACTGAGTTGCTCAGTGCCTCGCCATTGCTGAGGCTGGCTTTGAACTCCTGATCCTCCTGCCTCAGCCTCCTGAGTCAATGGTATTACAGACAATTAACTTTTTAATCATAAAAGAAAACTGCTGGGCTGGGCATGTGGCTCATTTGAAGAATGCTTGCCTAGCAAGCATGAGAACCTGGGTTCAATCACTGCTACTACAAAAAAAAAAAAAGATGGATATGTATATTTCATTGTAAATTACACTGTTAGCAACTTTCTGCAAGAAATGACCATGTGTGAATATTCGAATGCATAAAAAGTCCACACAAACCAGCCAGGTATAGTGACTTGGGAGGCTGACAAGTGGCAAAGGACAAAAAGATAATTTACAAATGGGAAAACACAAATGAATAAATATTTAAGAAAATATTCAACTTCATAATAATCTAAGTACAAAACAATACAACATTTCCTCCTTATCTGATTAGCAAGTGTGTGTATATATATGTGTGTGTGTATTTTAATGAGATAAACTAATGCTGATAAGATTGTAGTGAAACTTTATTTATTTTGGTACTGGGAATACAGGTGTGCACCACCATGCCTGGCTCCTGCCGTGAAATATTCTTAAATGCCATTAGTAAAAATGTAAATTATTACTCCAGTATGGTGGCTCTTGTGCTTGTAATCCCAGTGACTCAGGAGGCTGAGACAGGAGGATCGCAAATTCAAAGTCAGCCTCAACAACCTGGCTAGGCCCTAAGCAATTTTGTGAGACCTTGCTTGAAATAAAAATTCAAAAGTTCTGGGGGAGCTAGGGTTGTGGCTCAAGTGGTAGAGTGCTTGTCCAGCACATGTGAGGCACTGGGTTCGATCCTCAGCACCACATAAAAATAAAATAAAGATATTATATCCACCTAAAACTAAAAAATAAATATAGAAAAGTTCTGGGGATGTGGCTCAGTAGTTAAGTATCTCTGAGTTCAACTCCTGGTACCAAAATAAATAGTATGAAATGAAGATGAAACATGTACCATGATCATTACTTTTATTACAATAAAAGAAAAAAAATCCTAAACATTTCATAAAATCAGAATAGTTAGGTTATAAAATTGAGTACAAATTGAAGATTATTTATAGGAAAATATTTATTAATGATCTAATTCCAGTTTAAAAAGTATTGTGTCCAACTATAGCTAATTTGTTTTAAAAAGTGGGTACAAGATTCAGAATTTAACACATAGTCATTGTCAGTCATAGTTGAGCTTTTTTTTTTTTAATTTTGTTTTTGGTACTGGGGATTAAACCCAAGAGTGCTTTACCACTGAGCTGCATTCCCAGTCCTAAATTGCTGAGCCTGGATTTGAACTTGTGATTATGGGTATGTGCCACCATGCCCTGCACTTAAGTTTATTTTTAAGTTTAATGCTTGCCCAATAAATATTTGAAAAGATATTCTTTTTTTTTTTTTTTGCACCAGGGATTAATTCAAGGGCACTTAACCACTGAGCCACATCCCCAGCCCTCTTTTGTATTTAATTTAGAGACAGGGTGTCACTGAGTTGCTTAGTGCCTTTGCTAAATTGCAGAGGCTGGTTTTGAACTTGAGATCCTCCTGCCTCAGTCTCACAAGTGGCTGGGATTATAGGTGTGCCATTGCACCTGGCCAGATACTCTTTTAATTAAATAAGATGATTCAAAAGTTCATATGGAAAAAGAAATAAGCAAGAATATTCAGGACAAAGCAAAGAGAAGGTTAGTTGATCCAGATCATTCTATATGTCAGAATACCTACTTTTCCATGCTACAACTTTCAGAGAATTATTTGTAGAAAAGTAAGCTTTTACCTCATTTTTTTGAGGGGGGTACCAGGGATTGAACTCAGTGGCGCCACATCCCCAGCCCTATTTTGTATTTTATTTAGAGACAGAGTCTCACTGAGTTGCTTAGTGCCTTGTTTTTGCTGAGGCTGGCTTTGAACTCGTGATCCTCCTGTCTCAGCCTCCGGAGCTGTTGGAATTATAGGCATGCGCCACCATGCCCAGCATAATTTGTTTCTAACTTACGTTCCTTCCACATTGAGATAAAACAATCAGATCTAACCAGATAAAATATTAATAGCAATGACTTTTAAACAGTATAGTGAAATTCTAAAACAAAATTATCTATTACCAAGGTGTTTTATTGGGGCCCTTGATGCCACATAGCTCAATCTGGTCCATATTTATTTTCAAATTTTGCATGTAAAACATATAACTTGGGGGCTGGAGATGTAGCTCTGTGGTATAGCACCTGCCCAGCATGTGTGAGTTTCTCAGTTCTATCATAGCATAGTCTATGTATATTACACACACACACACACACACACACACACACACACACACACACAGTTTTAAAAATAGTTTTATAAGTCAAAGGAAATATATCAATATTAGTATAAGGGTTTTTTTTAGTGGTGAATAATGGGTAAAATTTCCCCAGATGTTTCATAATGTTTTTCCACATAGACTTTACTGAGCATACATTACTTTTATAACAGTAAAGGACTAAGGGGACAAGTGATTAATTGATAATTCTTTTCTGTATTAAATGCAGAAGTGTTACATCGTGACATATGATGACTTACTCTTTCGCTTTCCAATATCCATGTCAGAGGTAGCAGCTTCACATAAAAGCACCATCCCTAAAGTAACCCCACCATCTTAAAAAAAAACTGTTAAAGGAACAATTCATAGGTACAAAGAAATACTACGTTACTATTCTAAGTTTCTCATGAAGAAAATAAAAATAAACAAATATAAAAGCTTCAACTCTTAATTATAATCAAATAAGTAAATTTGTGTACAGTGTGACACTCAAAATGAAAATATAATACAAAATTAAAATTGGAAAATTAATTCATTTGTGGAAAAGAAAATTGATATTTTAAAACAAACATCCTGTCTACAACATATGAAATACGAGTTTTTCTGAAATTATACTTTGAAATAATGTGCCTGGACATTCGGCTATTGCCCCAAATCCATATACATTTTTTTGGTAGTAGGAATTGAACCCAGGTGTGCTTTGTCACTGAGCTTCATCCACAGCCCTTGCATGCACCACTGTATTTGGTATCCATATACATTTTAAAATACTAGTCATTTTCAATATTTACACCTCCCCAAAAAAAACAAATGTGAAATATGCACAATTCAGAGAGAATACTAACACATTTTTATTTAGAAAATAATTTCTCCTAAATTTCAACAATTAACTTTTAAAGTACAAATTATTACTAAGATACCCAATTTAGTCCTAATAAAAAATGAAAATCCCACATGTGACATGACCTTATTTTTATTGAGCTTAATAATAGAAGCAACATAAATATAAAATGGAACCACCCATGCAATAGGTAACACATTCCATGACTATTTTTTAAAATATTTTTTAGTTGTCAATGGACCTTTATTTTATTTATTTGTATGTGGTGCTGAGAATTGAGCCCAGTACCTCATGCATGCTAGGCAAGTGTGCTACCACTGAACCACCACTCCAGCCCACATCCCATGACTAGTAGAAAAGAGAAATTCACCCTGTGGTTTAATGAATATCAATAGCAGTAAAGAAAATCCCCAAATTAATTATGCATACACTCATGCACATTGCATGCTACTTCATGTGAGTATAATTAAGCAGAAAGGAAAAAAAAATAAATGTTCAGATAAGGCTTTGAATTTATAATTGGCTCTATAATCTGATTATTCATCTCTTCATTACCATCTTGCACTCTCTCTTCAACAGCCTCAATAGTCTCTTGTTAGGGAATAATGCCTATTCGTCATGTTTTAGTTGCTCAGCCAAGTGTCTTCTCCAGCATTTTATTTTTTCTTTCTGAGGTTCTTTATATGCAGGTTGAAACAATGACTGATTATCTCTATAGGCTTTAGTTACCAGGCACTCTCTGATTAATGGGCTAAGACTTTTGGTTTTGGAAACTTGGAAGTGTTTGTCTTTGTATCCTGGCCTGAATGTTTTTTTTTTTTTTTTTTTTTTTTCAGTACTGGGGATTGAACCCAGTCAGGGTCTTGCTCATCCTAGGCAAGTGCTTTACCATTGAGCATCCCTAGCCCAAATGTATGCTGTTGCTGTGAATCAGCTTTTCATTTTTACTATGTACTCCCAAAGTCTGTGTGTGCTATTCTCAGCAGTAAAGAGCTGTTATGCACATCTATATTCACTGTTTAGTTTCATTTATTTATTCTTTTTTTTTTTAAAGAGAGAGTGAGAGAGGAGAGAGAGAGAGAATTTTTAATATTTATTTTTTAGTTCTCGGCGGACACAACATCTTTGTTGGTATGTGGTGCTGAGGATCGAACCCGGGTCGCACGCATGCCAGGTGAGCGCGATACCGCTTGAGCCACATCCCCAGCCCTATTTATTCTTTTTATCATTTATTTTTTAGTTATAGGTGGACACAATATCTTTATTTTATTTTTGATTTGGTGCTGAGAATCGAACCCAGTGCCTTACGCATGGTAGGCGAACGCTCTACCTCTGAGCCACAACCCCGGCCCCATCATTTATTTATTCTTTCAATTTTTACTAACACTGCCTACTATATGGCAGGCATTATTAATTGCTATCATTACAAAGTTGAACAAAATGTAGACCCTCACATCTGTTTTTAGATGTCAGAAAGCGAATATTAGTGTGGTTTCAAAAAATAAAAAGTCTGCTCTGCCATTCAAGAGGATAGAAGAAACCACACGTAAAGCAGCTGCAAAGTTCACAGGGAATATTTCTCCCTTGGATGTGGTGCAGCTGAAAACTGTCAAAATACCCCAGTCTTTGATTAACCACTGCTTTCTTATTAGAGAATACTGTTCTGTAAAATCATAAACTGTTTGGAGCTGGGGTTGTGGCTCAGTGTTAGAGCGCTCGCCTAGCATGCACGAGGCACTGGGTTCGATCCTCAGCACCACATAAATGTAAAATAAAGATATTGTGTCCACCTAAAACTAAAAAAATAAATATTAAAAAAAGCATAAACTGTTTTGAAATTATATAAGTATGAAACATCCCATACTTGCTGGAGGACCTGATTCACTCAAGTTTACAAGCACAATTTCTAAGTAGCCGCAATTTAGAAACAGAGGTATAGAGCTTCAAACAAGATTTTTTTTTTTTTTGGTGGTAGTGCAGACTGAACTCAGGGCTTCATGCATGCTAGCCAATTACCCTACCATTGAGCTTCATCCCCAGCCCCAAACAAGCAGTTAAGATGAAAATCACACATTTATCTTAATTTTGTAGTTTCCTGGGAAACAGAACCATGGGCCTACTTAAAAGTTCAGACCTGATATTGATCCCTTTATTCTCAAGCTTGTTGTCCCTGCCTTTCTTTTTTTTTTTTTTTTTTTTTGGTACCAGGGATTGCACTCAGGGGCACTTGACCAACTGAGCCACATTCCCAGCTCCATTTCATATTTTATTTAGAGACAGGGTCTCGCTGAGTTGCTTAGCACCTCACTTTTTGCTGAAGCTGGTTTTGAACTCATGATTCTCCTGTTTCAGCCTCCTGAGCTGCTGGGATTACAGATGTGAGACACCATGCCCAGATTCCCCCCCCTTTTTTTTATTTGAGTGCTGGGGATTGAACTCAAGGTCTTGTTCATGCTAGGCAAGTGCTCTACCATTGAGTTACATCTCCAGCCCCTTATTTTGATTTTAGCCTAACAAAAAAATGCTTCATTTAAATTTCAGATAAATCCTTCCCTTCTTCCAAATCCGTATAACTCTTTGGTAAGAAGACATCTTTTGCTTCCTCGGCTCTGCAGTCTTCCTTGTTATCAATAAGCCAATAAATCTGGCTTTACCAGCAGATTTGTCACAGGTGGGCTTTGGCTAACTGGGATAATTAAGATGGATGACACAAATAATATGGTTTCCAAAGGATATTATGACCTGCATTAGGAAAGCAGCCCCAAACAAAGAGAAAACTAGATTATGAGAAAGTAGGCAAATCATAATGCAACAACAAAGACTTATTGTAAAAAGGATACTGAACAGAAGAACGATGTGTGTTTCAGCTACAAACTGGGCTTGGCTGCTTCCATGAATGTAATTCTGGTTCAAGGAGAAAAAATGGAATCTTTAAATATACATTAAATTCTAGCATCCTAACCTTAAATGGGCTATTTAAAATCCTATGAAATTATTAATTTCACTTGATGTATATATTTCGAGTCTATGACATTCATCAGTAAATAAATGACTTCTATAAAAGGCATTCTGTATTATTATCTATTTTTACATGTATGCATGGTATTGAGAATCAAACTTGATTTTCAGACAGGGTCTCACTAAGTTGTGGAGGCTGGCCTTGAACTTTTGATATTTTTGCCTCACCCTCCTAAATTGCTAGGATTACAAATGTGTGCCATGATCCCTGGCCTATTTGCCTTTTGATTGTACATGTGTTTGCAATAACAAAATACATAAAAAAAACTAGTATTCAAGTGTTCATAATGTAGACTTCATAAAGACATGTACCATGCTATTCTTAGTTATCAATATATCTGATATTTCTGAGCATACTGATTAAAAACAGTAGATGCTCAAGTGCTTGATTAATTATTCTATTTAGCTTAAGACTTGACTTTCATTAGTAGACAGCTTAGTGAAAAGGGCTCACCAGGTAGGATATGGAACTTCCCACTTTTAAGAGCATTGCATCATCTTATAGTGACTGAAGCTTGTTAATACAGAGAGATTGAAAAGTAAAGAAATCTGAGACTTCCCTTACCACATGTCCTGTGTGTGGATTCTTATGAGCATATGGTGGTCCTCTAATATGGTTCCACATTTGACCAGATGTCATAGCAAGCACAAAACACTAGGAGACAACAACAACAACAAAAAAAAACAATGAAATATTCATGGTCAAGGGGGTCCCACCTTGATTAGACTACTAGGTATAATAAAAAGTATATCTGTTCAAATAATACATGAAATAATTGTCAGATAAATAAAGGTTCATCAATGTCTAAAAAATTGTTTTTAAAAATTATAACCAAGCTGACAAATTTCAAAATTGAATATTGAAAAGACTTTTTAGAAGAATATTTTTTAAAGAGCTGCAAACTTTCAGAGATGACATTCTCATGTTTACGTTGAATAAAAAGTAGATAATTCCACTCTTTGAAGGTAGGGCCATCCTAATGAGACAATGGAGGAAATTCACTGATCATAAGGCAGAAAATAAAAATATACAAAATCATTTCCCTCAGGTAAGAAATAAATGAAATGCTTCTTATATAAATGAAAGCTAACCTAAAAATACATCATTAGGAGTTTTATCAAAATTATTTTTTCTTCTAAAATTCACTCACCAAAGCTGCAAAAGCCCATCCAGTTTTATTAAAGAGAAATTCCATATTGCTTCTTCGAAGATACACAAGTCCACCAATAACAGCCAAGAGCAATCCCAACATAAGGGGACCAGCATAATTTGGGGGTCTAATTACTCTAATCTAATGGAAAGGAGATAAAAACATTTTAAAGTATAAAATTTATTTACTAATTAAATAATAATGAAAAGAAAGTGTGGTTATTTTCAGAAAAATGTATTTTCCTTTATTCTAATCAAAACAATCTATACAGTATCTTAAAATGGGATGGAAGAAGTATAGTATTTTGTTTAGTCACAATATAACATCCAAATAAGAAGGATCAGACAAGTTCTGCTAGATAGCTCATAGACTTATGAAGCCCAAGAGAGTGGTTTCTATGTTGAATTCAATAGGGTAACAGAGCATGTTCTGTAATTTCAGGATGATTCTGTTAAATGCTACTCATGAAAGAAATCCCACACCACTTCAGTAATATTCGAACAAGACCAATTATAGCATCCCAGTAATAATAAAAGGGGACAATGGCAAAGTAACTGTCTTTTTTTATTGGTTCCTTTTAGTTATACATGACAGTAGAATCCATTTTGATATAATTATATAAGCATGGAATATATTATATTCTAATAAAGACCCCATTCTTGTGGATAGACACAATGGTAGGATTCACTGTGGTGGGCAAAGTAACTGTCTACAAGTTAGGGAAACTTACATTGACATCAGTTCTGTCTGCAATCCACCGGGCAATCTGTTCAGCCGAAAAGCCCCTCACCTGTAACTCATATGTATCACCCCGTTTGGGTTTCCCTTTTGCAGGAAAGTTGATGAAAGTTGGAGCTGAATTCATGTTTAGCTGAATAAAGAGTAGTTCATGGAAATATTAGTTACCAAACAAATAATCTTAATAGAACTAATGTTAAAAAAATAGGTATTTTAGGTTTAGACAGGTTAAGTGATTTAACTAAGAAAAAGGGTAGATGAGGATTCAAACACAGGCTGTGTGTGACCTTAACTATTATACTTTATTAATAAAATTTGGACTTCTAGTTAAAAAATGTACGTTACTCCATTATATTGGGAAACTTCGAATACAGAGATATTTTAATCTGTTCAGAGAGAATATGCAGAAATACATTCATGACCACTGAAATGGTCATATATAGCTGAAGAAGGTCCAAATAAAATACTTTCTCAATTTGAAGAAAATGAGATCAGGATAATGCTCAAAAATTGTAGTGAAACCAATACAAAATGGTAGCCATATGCTGAAATAGTCAATTCTAAGGAAGTTTCATAAATGTTTACTGATGAGCATCACATTTCACTACTCTCATCACGAGACCATATGCTTGAAAAGACAACACTGGAATTTCTAAGGGAAAAAAACAACAACCCATTATATCTTTCCTAACTTGATCACTATACTTGTGGGAAAGAGAAAGTCTGACTAAGCCCTGGGGACATATCCTAACTAACAGATGCAAGCCTTCAGATCCTCTCAATGGAGACTAATTTTAAAATAGAGACTGTTGTAAAAAACAATGATAGCTGGTCATGTTGGCACATGCTAATAATCCCAGTGACTTACAAAGTTGAGACAGGAGGATCACAAATTTGAGCCCAGCCTGGGCAATTTAGTAAGAACTTATTCAAAATAAAGAACAAAAATGAAAAGAAAAAAATGGTAAGGAGTGGGCTGGGGATATAGCTCAGTTGGTAGAGTGCTTGCCTCACATGTACAAGGCCCTGGGTTCAATCCCCAGAACCACCAAAAAAAAAAAAAAAAAAAAAAAAAGGCAAGGAGTGTAGCTCAGTGGCAAAGTGCCTCTGGGTGGTTCAATCCACAGTACCACACACACACAAAAACCCCACAATTATAGCTTTAAAATATCAGTCAATAAGATAATAAAACTCTTTTGCTTTGGTTCTGTACTAACCCTTTATGTAATAACCTTCCCTCAATGGTTTTCTTTTTTGGTACCTGGGATTGAATCTAAGGGTGGTTAACCACTGAGGATGGCTGTGAACTTGTGATACTCCTGCCTCAGCCTCCTGAACTGCTGGGAATACATGCTTGCACCACCATGCTCCACTTTTTTTTTTCAATACTGGGTAGTAAACACAGGGACTCCCATATGCTAGGCAATTCTTTTGTTGTTGTTTGGTACTGGAGATTGAACCCAGGGGCTCTCTAACACTGAGTGGTATTGCCAGCCCCTTTTCTTATTTTGAAACACTCTTGAGGCTGGCCTCAAACTTCTGATCCTCCTGCATCAGCCTCCTGAGTCACTGGTTTTACAGACATGCACTAGATTGCCTGACCCCTTCTTGGTTTTTTAAAATTTTAATATGAGGCAGGACTTTGGTAAATTGACCAAGATGGTCTTAAACGTGCAATCCTCTTGCCTCAGTCTCCTGAGTAGCTGGGATAACATATGGGCACCACCACACTAGATTATAACAATAACCTTTTTAATATTTTTTGTAGCTGTACACAATAACTTTTATTTATTTTTATGTGGTGCTGAGGATCAAACCCAGGGCCTTGCATATGCGAGGCAAGCGCTCTACCACTGAGCCATAACCCCGGCCCCAACAATAACCTTTTTACAGTACATTTCTAGGGGCTGGGGATATGGCTCAAGCAGTAGCATGCTTGCCTGGCATGCGTGCGGCCCGGGTTCGATCCTCAGCACCACATACAAACAAAGATGTTGTGTCCACCGAAAACTAAAAAATAAATATTAAAAAATTCTCTCTCTTTCCTCTCTCACTCTGTCTTTAAAAAAAAAAAAACAGTACATTTCTAGGTTTTCCCCATAAGGCAAGAGGGTATACTGACTAGTGGATATAATTATTTTGGTCTCTTTGACTGCATAATATGGTGAATTAATAGATTAGCCCTTTTGTTTCCAATGTCCATGTATTTTTATGATGTGGCAAAGTGCACAATATCTCCAGAAGTAGATGAAATCTGGCAACACTAGTAAAATTAAATTTTTGTGCCTGAAAAGCTAAGTATCAGATCTTGCAAAGTGTTCACTCTAACAAATACTGTCCAAATTTTAAGCCAAACTTTTCAACTTTTTGTTTACTTAGACCACCTTTCGAGTTTTGAAAATGTGTGTATAAAAAGCTAAATAATTCCACAAATGTATATGCTACCATTCTTAAACCTCTAAAATGGGGGGCTGGGGTTGTGGGTCAGTGGTAGAGTGCTCACCTAGCATGCACAAGGCACTGGGTTTGATCCTCAGCACCACATAAATGTAAAATAAAGATATTGTGTCCACCTAAAACTTAAGATGCTAGGTGCCATGGAATACGCCTATAATCCCAGGAACTCAGGAGGATGAGGCACGAGAATACCAAGTTTGAGGCCAGCCTCAAACTTAGTGAGGCCCTCAGTAACTTAGTAAGACCCTGTCTCAAAATAAAAAATAAAAGGGGCTGGGGGTTGGGGATGTAGCTCAGTGATAAAGCACCCTTGGGCTAAATTCTTAGTAAATACAAAAAAAAAAAAAAAACTATTCAAGGTAGAAGAAATTTGGTTTTGTATTTTTACAAATCATTAACAGAAGCTATGTGTCTCTTAGGGGGCTGGGGATATAGCTTAGTTGATAGAGTGCTTGCCTCACATGCACGAGGTCCTGGATTCAATCCCCAGCACCACACAAAAAAAAGAAGTTATGTATACCTTGTTAAAATAGTTAAAAATTTTAATTTCTAAAACAATCCCAGCTTGAACAGTAGAGAATAAGAAAATGATTTCTTTCTCTCATTCTATTTCCTTCCTTCCTCCCTCCCTCCCCTCCTTTTCTCTGTGCTGGGGGATTGAACTCAGTGCTTTGTGTTAATTAAGTATGAGCATGTGTTCTATAGCTAAAGTATAAGTCCAGCCCTGAGAAGGCAATTTGTTCCTTTTCTTTTACTGGGGATTTAACCCAGGGGCAACTTACCACTGAGCTACATTCCCAGCCCTTTTTAAAAAATTTAAAAAAAATTTTTCTTCTTGTTGTAAATGAACACAATACCCTTACTTTATTTATTTATTTTAAAAAAATTTTTAGTTGTTGATAGATCTTTATTTTATTTATATGTGGTGTTAAGAATCGAACCCAGTGCCTCACACATGCCAGGCAAGTGAGCTACTGCTGAGCCATAGCCCCAGCCCCTGTTTATTTATTTTTATGTGGTGCTGAGGATCGAACCTACTGCCTCCCACATGCAAGGCAAGTACTCTACCACTGAGCTATAACCCCAGCTCCCTCTTTTTAAAAAATTTTTGAGACAGGGTCTCACTAAGTTGCTTAGGACCTCACTAAATTGCTGAGGCTAGACTTGAACTTGCAATCCTCTAGCCTCAGACTCCCAAGACTCTGGGATAACAGACATGAACCACCATGCCCGGCCATAGAAGGCAATTTCTTAAACTCTAGAAATTGTTTCCTTTGGTCTAACAAAACCTAAACATACTAACCTTTTATAAATATGCTGATTTTGATTTATGGAGATGGCTATTTGAGAATATAATATAAATTGCACAATATTTTATTATAAAATAGACACATTAAGCCATTTTTTTCAACATTTATATGTGCTTAGCAGTAATAGGTACTAGATTTCTTTCTTTCTTTCTGTGGTACAGAAAATTGAAACCAGGGGTGTTTAACTACTGAGCCACATCTCCAGCCCTTTTTGAAAATATTTCTTTTTAGTTATAGATGGACACAGTACCTTTATTTATTATTTATTTTTATGTAGTGCTGAGGATCAAACCCAGTACCTCACATGTGCTAGGCAAGTGCTCTTATAACCCTAAACCCTCAGCCCTTTTTTATATTTTATTTAGAGACAGGATCTCACTGAGTTGCTTAGGACCTCACAAAGTTCCTGAGACTGGCCTTGAATTCATGATCCTCCTGCCTCAGCCTCCTGAGCCACAGGGATTAAAGGTGTGAGCCACTGTGCCTGGCTAGGTACTGGATATTGATTGCCATTAAGTAAGTTACTGTATTCTGAAAAAGACTGTCAAAACAAATATAGTTCTATTTCTATAAGATAATATATGTAAGTGTATAACAGAAATAAAGTAGTGTGACAATACAAAAAAAGAGGTGACTCACTTTTCATCTGGAGGATTTGAAAAGGTCTAAGGGAAATATCTGAAATCAAGCTTAAAATGTAAGGAAAATTTGAGAGAGGAAAGGACAAAGGAAAGAAAGGTTACCTCATGTTGTTAGAAATTAACAATCAACGGTGCTGATATAAGATAGTGTGTGAGCTGGATATGGTGGTGCACATCTGTAATTCCAGCAGCTTAGGAGGCTGAGGCAGGAGGATCCTGAGTTCAAAGCCAGCCTCAGCAAATGCTGAAGCACTAAGCAACTCAGTGAGACCCTGTCTCTAAATAAAATACGAAATAGGGCTGGGGATGTGGCTCAGTGGTTGAGTATCCTTGAGTTCAATCCCCAGGACTCATCCCTCAAGAAAGATAGTGTGTTATATAATGATTATGCCTCATGATTTAGAGAGGCCCTAAGCAACCTAGCAAGACCCTGTCTCAAAAAAAAAGGTTGGGGATGTGGCTCAGTGGTTCAGCATCCCTGGGTTCATTCCCAGGTATAAAATAAAATGAAGGAAAAGAAAGATAAGGAATTCTGACCTTTGTCTATACATCTTTTCTTGTGCTGGGAACTGAGCCCAGGGCATTACACATGCTAAGCACCACACTCAGTAGTCGAACACTTGCCTACCACAAATGAGGCGTGAGGAACCCAATCCTAAATTGTATTCCCTACACCACTCAAAAAAAATTAAATTATATGGAATCTAGCCAAAATGCTTCATTAAGTAAATAATTTGGGAAATTCTATGTATTAGAGCCCCTTGTTGGAAAGGAAAATATAACACATATAGCATGTTAAAGTCTCTGAGAATTTCTGTGTTGGTAGACAATTATCCATGAGTTTCCTCCAGTTTTTGCATTTTTTTTGGGCAAAGTCATTGATTGCCTTTTTGTTCTGGACAATCTTTTCAAGGATATTTGCATAACCTTGGAAGAAAGAGATGGAGCCCCCCTTTGAAGCAAAGGGTAGGTATGTTTAATATCCTTAGAAACATTTGGGTTCCCTGGGATTGGTGGGCCTCTTCCATAATGCATCTCATTGGCTCTCTCTGCATATGCCATGTGGGGCTTGGGGAACCTGTGCAATAAATGTGCTGATTTTCTGAATACTTGCTGTTGTTATGAGTATTAAAGTCCTGTATCTCTGACCCAGGAGTATTATCTTTTGCCAGCATCCATGAAACTGTGGCAGGTTAACTTGTTAGCTTGAAAGTAGGGTTAAACCTCAGACCCCTCACAGTTCTTGAATCCTGAAGTAAAAAAAAAATAGTTTAATGTTTAAACTAGTGTTTTCTAAATTTAAAGATTTCCCTAAGAATTCTATTAATACCTTATAGAAAAGATTCCAGTATTTTCTAGCAGGAAATATAGAGAGAGTGCTTCATGGAAGGTTAAGAGGACTGGTTAAAAGGCAACTGCAGGGCTGCGGTTGTGGCTCAGCAGTAGAGCACTTGCCTAGCACGGGCAAGGTCCTGGGTTAGATCCTCAGCACCACATAAAAATAAATAAATAAAATAAAATAAAGGTATTGTGTTCAACTACAACTAAAATATAAATATTTTTTTAAAAAAGGCAACTTGGGCTAGGGTTGTGGCTCAGAGAGGGCTTGCCTAGCATGCGTGAGGCACTGGGTTCGATCCTCAGCACCACATAAAAATAAATAAATAAAATAAAATAAAGGTATTGTGTTCAACTACAACTAAAATATAAATATTTTTTTAAAAAAGGCAACTTGGGCTAGGGTTGTGGCTCAGAGAGGGCTTGCCTAGCATGCGTGAGGCACTGGGTTCGATCCTCAGCACCACATAAAAAAATAAAGTAAAATAAAGGTGTCCACCTACAACTAAAAAATAAATGTTCAAAAAAAAAAGGCAACTGCATCAGCTGGGTACAATGGTGCATGCCTGTAATCCCAGCTGCTTGGGAGGATAAGGCGGGAGGATCACAAGTTCAAAGCCAGCCTCAGCAACTTAGCAAGGCCCTAGGCAATTTAATAAGAACCTGTCTCAAAAAAAAAAAAAATACTGGGGATGTGGCTCAGTGGTTAAGTGCCTCTGGGTTCAATTCCTGGTACCAACCCCACCCCAAAACAAAAAAGCAACTACATTAATTCAAAAAAGAGATGATGAGGGCATTGGAATATAAAGGGGTAATATCTATGACAGATGCTGTACAAGAAAATGAAGAAGACAAAAGTGTTTCTAATGATGTGGAACACAGGGAGACCGGAGTTAGGTAGAAGTGGGAGAGATGGGAATTTAATTTGGTACAAAATGAAGTTTTGGATTCAGCAGACATTCATGTGAAGATGTATATAGCAAGGAGTTACATGCAGATTTTTAAAAATTCAATTATACTGAGTAGAACATGTTCAACTATGAGTTAGACAAACTTATAAACAAAGACAAAATTGAATCTATGACCCTGAGTGTTTATATATAAAAGGAAAGAACTAATAGAGGCTGAAGTTGAGGATACAGATGTGAAACCTCATGACTGCAAAGCAGAAGGGTATGGTATCCAGTCCACAGGAAAAAGGTTCGTCTTTGAATAACAGGAAGGATCTTTTCCACTAACACAAGAGGCAAGAGGATAAAGGCAGGTTGAACTAAGGACTTCAGTAGTATATAATGGTGACATAATGGTAGCATTCATGTTTTCATTTAAAAATTACTTTATAAATTATTCACTTGAAATGGTTAAAATGGTAAGTTTTTTATTATGTATATTTTACCACAATAAAATATGTGAAAGTTAGGGCTGGGATTGTGGCTCAGTGGCAGAACGCTTGCCTAGCACGTGTAAGGCACTGGGTTTAATCCCCAGCACCACATTAAAAAACAAACAAACAACAACAAAAAAAAAACCAGATAAATAAAGGTATTGTGTCCATCTATAACTAAAAAGTTTTTAAATGTATAAGTTAAATATATGTATATTACTTGATTACTACCCAATTTCCACATTCTAACAGATTAGCACTAATTATTACCTTTTATGCTTAGCTCAAGTTTAGCTTTTAGTTCACTGACTATTCTAAATCTTAACCTAAGAGCAGTCCTATTTAAGTTTTGTAGTCAAGTGATAATGCATTCTACTTTATTCATATTTTAATTATTCCTATAAGAGAATAAAGATCTTACCATCTGAAATACATCAGAGCCTTCATCAAAATCCACCATGGCAAAAAATATTCTGTTGGTAAATGCACTGGAATATCGCCAAGAGTTTGCTAGGATCTGGAATTCTTCATCAGCTTGCCTGGATGCAATCAGATTTGTGAAGACAACATTTAAAACAATTTCCAAAATCATTCTAGTTCATCATCAGTAAAAAAGCACAGTTCAACTAAGCATTTTTTCTTTTTTTCAACTAAGCATTTTTTCAAAGGGAGAGATATTAAATATCATTGATTTACATCAGGCTCTGCTGACAAAGTTAGGATAAACCTTGTTTGGCCTAAGAGAAGCCTTATCCCAAGTGTTGGAGATTTCCCAGAAACTAGTAATTACCACACTACATTTCATACTTTGAACCTGTTTTTTATTCTAATGTTCTTTCAGTAATCACTGGAAAAATCTAGGTATTTGTCTCTACACCAATTTTGAGATGGGGTCTTGCTACATTGTCCATCCCAGCCTCAAACTCCTGGGCTCCAGCTATCCTCCTGCCTCAGTATCCCCAGTGTTGGGACTTCAGGCTTACACTACTACACCCAATTTCTATACTTTTCTGTTGGTAGTGCTGGGGATCCAACCCAGTGCCCAAGTGCTCAATCACCAAGCTACATCTCCAGCCCTATCAATAATTTTTAATACCCTAAGTTATTTCTAAGAATTCAAAGATAAGGTAAAAGTATTTTCCCCAGAGAATGAGGAAATACAGTACTAATCCACTTAAAAAATATAAAGATGCTACTTGATAAAAAGTACAATCAGATGAATTATTAGGACGAAAGATAAGCCTATGGAATTAAGATTAATTAAAACCTTAAGTCATCTTTGACTTTTCCCGTATCTCCCATACACTTTCAGTTTGTAAGATCTGTCAATTATTTATTTGTGATTAACTTTCCTATTTGTTTCTTTTAGTGCTGGTGAACCCAGGGCCTTGTGCTTGCTAACCACAAATTCTACCGCTGAATTACAAACATCCTCAGCTACTCGTGTTTATTGCTATCATCTAGGGTCAGAACCTTAATATCTAATAGGATATTAAAATACTAACTCTAATTTCTCTTGCTGTAATCATTCTTACACTGTAATATACAGTGTTCTTCTTAAATTACTAATATCCTGAAACTCTTCCTCTTCTCAGAAACCATTATTACTGCTATATTGCCTTTCAAATAGTCTCCGAGCTCTTTCTATTTAAGGTTATCACCTAACTCTGAATAGTGCATCTAGCTTTTATTTGGTCATATTACTAACCAATATCAAACAGGATTCCTTGATTCCAGCACCTATCTCTGTATTCGTGAGCACATCAGTGCTTCCAACCATAATATCCTGCCTCCATCTAAATCTGATCTGTTTCTATAATCCTAGAACAAGTCCTATGTCCTCCATTACAACAATCCTAACCTAACCACTCCTGTTATGTGTGTTTCCTGAAATTTTTTAGTATTCATGATACATAAGGTTCACCTTGCTAGATGTGGTGGTGCATGCCTGTAATCCCAGCTACTTGGGAAGCTGAGGCAGGAGTATTATTGCAAGTTTGAGGCTAATCTGGGCAATTTAATGAGACCCTGTCTCAAAAATATAAAAAGGGCTGGAAATATAGCTCAGTGGTAGAAAATCCCTGAATTCAATCTCCAGTACTTGAAGAAAGCAAAAATGTTCCTCTGGTACTTAATCATAGATTGTCTTATAATGCCAGCTAAATTTTCATGTGTGTATCTCAATTCCCTAACCCAATGATAACAGTAAGAGGTCTTTCCTGACAGCATAAAAACTACAGTATTATTCATATTGCAGTTGCTTATTTTTTATTTTTTTGGTACCAGGGATTGAACTGAGGAGCACGCAATCACAGAGCTACATCTCCTCTCTATTTTGTATTTTATTTAGAAACAGGGTCTCACTGGGTTGCTTAGCACCTTGTCATTGCTGAGGCTGGCTGTGAACTCATGATCCTCCTGCCTCAGCCTCCCGAGTTGCTGGGATTATAGGTTTGCTACTGCATACGGCCTTAATTTTTATTTGTTGAATGAGTTTAAGAAATTGTGAGTTAATTTTATTTATTAATTAATTTCCAGGGGTTGAACCCAGGGGCACTTTACCACTGAGCTATATCCCTAGTTCTTTTTATTTTTATTTTTTTATTTTGAGACAGGGTCTCGCTAATTTACTGAGTCTCACTAAGTTGCTAAGGGTAACCTCAAATTTGCAATCTCCCTGCATCATCCTCCTTAGTGGCTGGAATTATAAGTGTATACCACTGCATCTGGCAAATATGAGTTAATTTTAAATTTGATCTTATAGAAAGATACCAGTAAAACAGTGGTTAGTAAGGATTCCATTAATTTGCATTTAATATGGAATTATGAAAGAGTTTGTATTTATACTCTGACATTTTTGTATACTCCTAATTGCTACTAAGTAAACTGAATTAGATGTATTTCTTTTTTTAAAATATTTCTTTAGTTGTAGTTGGACACAATACCTTTATTTTATTTATTTTTACGTGGTGCTGAGGATCAAACCCAGTGCCTCCCATGTGCTAGGCAAGTGCTCTACTGCTGAGCCACAACCCCAGCCTCCCTATTTCTTTTCTTTTTAATATTTTTGATGTTGATGAACCTTTACTTTATTCATTTATTTGTATGCAGTGCTGAGAATCAAACCTAGTGCTTCACACATGCTGGGCAAGTGCTCAATTAGCCCAATTAGAAGTATTTCTAAAGTTTATTCAGAGTTAATACCTACTCCTTTTTCCTTCTTCTATTTACTTTTAATTTATATCCAGCATTCATCCCCCCAAATAAGCACTATGGAGCCAAATACCTTGACTAGCCCCTATCTCCAGTGAGAAAATGCTTTCAGTTAACAAGGTATATAGGCTGCCAGTACTTGGAAAGACTTCAAGTTTTTACTGAACTAGTTTTACATAGAGGAGCTTTGCCATTTTATTTAAAGTAAATTCCCAGGTTAGATATACTGATCTAAAAATATGAGTAGGGCTGGGGATGTGGCTCAAGCAGTAGTGCGCTTGCCTGGCATGCGTGCGGCCCGGGTTGGATCCTCAGCACCACATACAAACAAAGATGTTGTGTCTGCCGAAAACTAAAAAATAAATATTCAAAAATTATCTCTCTCTCTCTCTAAAAAAAGAAATAAATAAAAAATAAAAATATGAGTAAACACTGAGTGACATATGCCTATAGTCCCAGTCACTCAAGAAGCTGATTGAGCCCAGGAGTTCAAGGACAGCCTAGGCATGACAGTCCCTTAAAATAATGAGAAAATATGCCAGGTGCAGTGGCACACCTGTAATCCCAGCAGCACTGGAGGCTGAGGCAGAAGGATTGCCAGTTCAAAGCCAGCTTCAGCAAAAGGGAGGCACTAAGCAACTCAGTGAGACCCTATCTCTAAATAAAGTACAAAATAGGGCTGGAGATGTGGCTCAGTGGTTGAGTGCCCCTGAGTTCAATCCCAAGAGAGAGAAAATATGCATCTGTATGTAAAAAAGACACTAAAAAATTAAAAGCTAATTTATTTTACAGTATCTATCATTTTTAATTGTCAATGGTGTTTTTGTTTAAGAGACTAGCAATCTTTATCCCTAAGATCATTCATAAACAGTACAATAAAATCAGTAAACCATCATTTGATAAAAATTTAAGTGAGATTAGTTTCTATCACCAAGACTGATAATCATCACAAAATAGCAGAGAACAAAGAAACATCCCTAAATCATACATCTTTGGCTTTTAAAATTATTTTAATTGGGTTGGGGTTGTAGCTCAGTGGTAGAGCACTTGTGTAGCACATGTGAGGCACTGGGTTTGATCCTCAGCACCACTAAATAAATAAATAAATAAATAGATAAATAAATAAATAAAATTAAGTTATAAAAAATTATTTTAATTGACAAAAAATAACTATATATTTATGCATCATGTGACATTTTGATATACATATACATTGTGGAATTATTAAATCAAGCTAATGCATCACCTCACCTACTTATTCTTTTGTAATGAGAACAATTTAAATATACGTTTAGTAATTTCAAAATATACAATGCATTATTATTAATTGTGGTCACCATGCTATAACTATAGATCACTAAAACTAATTTGTCCTATCTAAATGAAACTAAAGACCCTTTGATCAACATCTCCCCCTTCCCCATCTCACCTACATTCCTTTGATAACCATCACTCTAGTTTTGCTTCTCTAAGTTGGACTGCTTTTTTTGGGGGGGGGGGTAGCAGAAATTGAACCCAGGTAGTGCTTTTTTAATTTTCAAGACAGGGTTACAGCCTCACTAAGTTGCTGATGTTGGCCTCAAATTTGCAATCCTCCTGCCTCAGCCTCCTGAACCACTGGGACTACAGGCATGCACTACTACACCCAGCTGTTAGACTTTTTAGGCTCTACATGTGAGACCACAGAAATCTTTGTTTCATAAAAAGTCCCCCATTTATTCATATTCCAAATTGGTATGAAGCCATCATTATTGCATTAATAAATATCTCAAATTCGGGGTAGACCACTTAAAATTTGGGGTGCTAGTGTCTTCCAAAAATGGAAGAATATTTGCTTTATTCTTACTCCCCCACCAATACATACAACCAAAAATTGATATAAAAGAGCAGTAGTATTATATGTTACTACAAATATCCTAATAAGGCATGTTGTTTATACTAATTTGGTTCTTCTGGGATTGAGAAATGGTTAAAATCTTACGAGTTATTTATTTTAATGTGTAGTTGAAAGTTCATACTTGCAAACGACACACTGTCTATGAAGTTGGAGAGCAGTGAACATGACAATAACGGAGTAATTTCTTGGTGGGGCTTTAACAAGGCGACGGAACTTGTCTCCATTCATTCTTATTACAGGTCTTTTATTGGTCCACTCCATCAGCTGACTAACCTTTTCAGATAACACCATCTAAAAAAAAAAGTGAGCATACTGTTAATATTCTCAACTTGGCATTTAAAGTTCGAAATGGTGGCACATGCCTGAAGTCTCAGCTATTTAGGAGACTGAAATGAGAGGGTCAATTGAGCACATGAGTTTGAGACCAGCCTGAGCAACACAATGAGTCCCCATCTCAAAACAAAACAAAACAAAAAGTTACTTTAGCTAGGCAACTTACTTAAAACCAAGACTATCTATCAAGCAGAAGTACACAGAAAAAATTGGGTAGTTGAGTCTAATGATAATTTAGAATTTCATAAGTCTTAATCAGATATTAAAATTTTAATGAGTTACTTATTACTTACCAACAAGAGAAATAATACAAAATCATAAAGCCTTTCATTTGCCAAAGATTGCAAAGAATGTTGAATTAAACTAACTGGCTAATTTCATATAAAATTTTATTTATTTTGGAAAAAACTACAAAGAATACAAACTTGAAAATGAAGAATAAAGTGAGAGAAATTATTCTACATAATTTATTTTTACTATAAAGCTACAATAATGAAGACAATATGGCACTGTTGAAGGTATAAACACAAAGGTTAATAAAACAGAAAAAAGAACCCCAGAAGTCTGGTGTGGTGGTTCATGCCTGTAATCCCAGGAACTTGGGAATCTGAGGTAGGAGGATCCTGTTTGAGGCTAGCCACCAGCTGGGGCAACCTGTCTCAAAATAAAATATTATAATAAAGGTTAGGGACTTAGCTCAGCAGCAGATCATTTGCATAGCATGTACAAGGCCCCAATGTTTGATCCCCAGCCCTGCAAAACAAACAAACAATAAAAACAAAAACAAAACCCAGAAATGACCTACACAAATATATCCAACTGATTTCTGATTTGTACAGAGGTGCAAAAGCAACTTAGTATAAGAAGATCCTGTACAATAAGACATGCAGGAGCAAATGAAAATCCATAGACAAAGATATGAAATTCTAATGAATATAAAATCACATATACCTTGTATAAAACCAAAAATGGATAATATACTTAATTTTATATAAGGTATATATGAAAACATTCTTTTTTTTTTAAAGAGAGAGAGAGAGAATTTTAATATTTATTTTTTAGTTATCGGCGGTCACAACATCTTTGTTGGTATGTGGTGCTGAGGATCCAACCCGGGCTGCACGCATGCCAGGCCAGCGCGCTACCGCTTGAGCCACATCCCCAGCCCATGAAAACATTCTTAAATGTTGTATGGACAACATACTTAAGTGTAAATTTTAAAACAAGACCACCTACAGAGCAGGAGAAAATATTTTCAGAACGTATCTGACAAAGGATTAGTAGCTAGAATATGTGTTTGTGTATTTTTTAAAATAATACTGGGGATTGAACTTGGGACTTGGGCATTCTACCACTGAGCGACATTTCCAGTCCTTTTTATTTTGAAACAGGTTCTAAGTTACCAAGGCTGGTCTTGAACTAGCAATCCTGCCTTAAATCTTGAGTCACTGGAATTAGAGGTGTGTGATGCAGCTCCTGGCTATATTTTAAAAAACCTATAAAATTCAACAGTAGCCAGATATGGTAGCACGTGCCTATAATCCCAGCTACTCAGGAGGCCGAGGAAGGAGGATTCCCAATTCAAGGTCAGCTTCAGCAACTTAGTGAGACCCTGCCTCAAAATGAAATTAAAGGGCTGGGGATGTAGCCCAGCATGTCTTGGTTCAATACCCAGGGTGCAAAAACAAAACCCCCCAAAACTCAAACATAAAAAACAAATAATTCAATTAGAAAATGGGCAAAATACATAAGATATTTAATTGAGGAGGAACCTCAGATGGCAAATAAACATGTGAAAAGATACACAATGAAAGGCCCTGGGTTCAAAATCTAACACTGGGGAAAAAATAACAGTTCAACATCGTCAGCATTACATAAATGCAAATTAAGAACTTAAAGAGACACCACTATATAAATGTTACTAAATAATATATAGTGACAAATACCAAACACTGGAGAAACTGAATCTCATACATTTCTGGCAGGGAATGTACTATGGTACAGCCACTCTGGAAAACAATTTGGCTGTTTCTTAAAAAAAAAAAAAAAAAAAAAAAAATCAAGCAACTAAAGATACTCTTCCCATACAAACCTAGCAATTGCATTCCTGGGAAACTGATCCCAGAGAAATGAAAATTTATGCCTACACACAAATGGAGCTACATTTTGTTTCTTCCTTTTTAAATACTCATTCATCATGAGGCAGTGGAAAAGTGGCACATTTAGACAAGGGAAATTTCAGTTCGAGATTAAACACCAACATATTTTTTTATCCTTTTTTTCATCTCCACTCTTGATGTTCAAGAATATAGAAGCCAGGTGCATGCCTGTAATCCTAGCAACTCCAGAGGCTGAGGCAGGAGAATTGCAAGTTCAAGGCCAGTCTCAGCAACCTAGCAAGACTGTCTCAAAAATAAAAAAAGGAAAAGGGCAGTTAATGTAACTCAGTGGTAAAGTGCCCCTAGGGTTCAATCTCCACTACCCCCCCCCCCAAAAAAAAGGTCAGGAAAGGATAACAAAGGATGGAAGGCAAGAATAATGAATCTCAAATGTAGATTAATACTAAGTTATGATTTTACTCTTCTTTACAGGGGAATGTCTATAAAGGTCTGGGAAATCACGGAGTGGCTTGTCATTCAAAGCATTTGACCAGTTACATTTTCCGTTATCTAAGTCTACTGCTTTACATTCTAAGATACTTTGACATCTGATTCCTTCTTCCAGTCTATTAGCTATTAGACAATAGAAACACACAGTATCTTACCACATAGCCATCATTAAGTTAAATATGTACTGAATTTCTATTTAATGGAACACAGCTGGGAATGGACTTACTTGCATACGTTAACATAAAAGGAAGAAAAATGATTGTACATATAAATACCTACATGGATCAGAAGGGTTTTTTTGTTTTGTTTTAGGAAGAGAGTAGTAAAATAGATTCTCATAATAACATGATTTGCCTTTAAAGCATGTCTGAATCCAACTAATTCTGAAACTAATTTTATTTCCTTAGTACAACTCTATGAATGGTGTGAAAAACTGCATAAAATTAGTTTTAGCCAGGTGTGGTGGTGTACATCTATACTCCCAGATACTAAGGAGGGTAGGGTGGGAGGAACACTTGAGCACAGGAGTTCGAGCCCAGCCTAGGCAATACAGTGAGACCCCCATCTCAAAAAACAAACAAATAATTTTGAAGCATATACAAAATAATTTCTAGTAAAAGTCACAAAATCAATATTCCACATATGRAAAACCAAATAGACTATAAACTTATAGAGACATATAGATTCTAAACCCAAAGATAAAAATAGATTTACACTGGAAAGACTGGTACAACAAATAATTAAAACTCGTGGAACAATGAAACAAGTAGCTGGTAAAGGCTATGGGAAAGAGTGAACCAGGAGGTAGAGAGGCTAAGGGGAACAAGTGGTGATCAAGATAACTTCAAGAATCTGCTAGTTCTTCCCAGCTCAGACAGTATAGTTAACATTTTAAAATATGCATTCTATATTTTAAAGCCATCATTATTTTTGCTGTATTTTCAAATTAAATTTGACAGTTGCTACCAAATTCAAACAATTTGGCTATTTTACTCACTGAAATGAGAGATCCTATTTGGGCCTATTTGAGAAAAAAAATGTGTAAAGCTTTAACAAGTATTTTCTACAGATTTGTATATTCTATCTATATATAACCATACAAATATATGATCATACCAATAAAACAAATGTGCTTTGAATAAGTTATAAATACATATAGTTTCCTTTCCTTTCCTTTCTTTCTTCTTCTTCTTTTTGGTTCCAGGCATTGAATCAGAAGCACTTAACCACTGAGCCACATCCCCAGACCTTTTTATATTTAGGATTACAGGTATGTGCTACTACACTATGTAGAGTTTTCATACACAAAAATTCTTAAGACTTTTTTTTTAAATCCAGGAAAATATAAAAATCTATAGTATTCCTCATCCTATGTATTAATAAAGTAGAAAGATAATATTTCTGGCTATTCAATTCCCAAATGACTTATCAAGTAGAAGATTTGATAATTTTCAAATGAATTACATATTCTTTCGAAAGTTGATAAAGAGGGATAATCTTCAAAAGGCTGCTTACAGCAGTGACCACTAGGTAAATTTTTGAAAACCAATTGAAAGCAGATCACAACAAAGGATTAATTTTCAACTTTTACAATAAAAATTACATGAACAGGGCTGGGGATGTGACTCAAGCAGTAACATGATCTCCTGGCATGTGCGGGGCACTGGGTTCGATTCTTAGCACCACAGACAAATAAAATAAAGATGCTGTGTCCACCGAAAACTAAAAAATAAATGTTAAAAAATTCTCTCTCTCTCTCTCTCTCTCTCTCTCTCTCTCTCTCTCTCTCTCTCTCTCTCTCTCTTCTTTCTCTCTCTTAAAAAATTACATGAACAAAATCTAGAACATGGTAATTATAAGAGCTGATGTGGTGGCACATAGCTTATAATCCCAGCTACTTGGGAGGCTGAGACAGGACAGTTGCTTGAGTTTAGGAGCTTGAGGCCAACCTTGACAAAAATAGCAGGAACCTCTCAAAAAAGAAAAGTTGTGGGCTGCAGCTGTGGCTCAGTGGTAGTGCACTTGCCTGGCATGTGTGAGGCCCTGAGTTCGATTCTCAGCACCACATATAAATAAATAAAATAAAGGTCCATCAACAAAAAAAAGAAAGAAAAGTTGTATTTCTTTCTTTCTTTTTTTTTTCTGTACCAGGGATTGAACTCAGGGGCACCCAACCACTGAGCAGCCACATCCCCAGCCCTATTCTGTATTTTATTTAGAGACAGGGTCTCATTGAGCTGCTTAGGCCTTCACAGTGGCTGAGGCTGGCTTTGAACTCAAGATACTCAGCCTCCCAAACTGCTGGGATTACAGGTGTGCACCAACATGCCTAGTGAAAAGTTGTAATTC